TTTGTATCAGATATTTTTATCTGATACCCGCATCGGATACTTTTATCTGATATTTTTATCTGATACCTGGACTAGATACCCAGCGGTATGCATACTGGCGCTTGGGCTTATTAGTTAATATATAATAGTTCAGATTAAATATGCTTCAGATTTGACAAAAGGATGGAATATATTAAATAAAAATATAACAAATTCATGCAGTGAAAATATTTTCCTAATACAACGTTCTTAAGAATTTTGTAACAATTAAAAAAATTCTTTATAGATACACACACACACACACACGCACGCACGCACTCACGCACGCACGCACCCCTCCACACACACACACACACACACACGTCTTAGGCTATTTCTTTCCATTATCTGATATTTGTATCGGATATTTTTATCTGATACCCGCATCGGATACTTTTATGTGATATTTTTATCTGATACCTGGACTAGATACCCAGCGGTATGCATACTGGCGCTTGGACTTGATATCCCATTAATTGTTTCAGATATTTTAATCCAACTGTAATTGATTATTGATCGGGTTTGATATTTTGAATACCTATCTGATACCTAATAAAACATATATTAAATATGTACCTATATATATTTTATTCCTTTATTATTAAATTTGCCCCTGTGATAAATATTTTACACTATTTTTAAATATAATAGTTCTAATGACTTTATAGTTATGTCAGGTACTATGAAGATATTTACACAGTTTTTTTTAAACAAAATGTGCTTAATATTTGACAAAAGAATGGAATATATTAAATAAAAATATAACAAGTTCATGCAGAGAAAATATTTTCCTAATACAACGTTCTTAAGAATTTTGTAACAATTGAAACACATATATATCTTTTATTATCACCGATCAATCTATATCTTGGGATTTAGATTATATAGGACTTGTATAATGTTTACAATACTATTATTGTATTCTTTTAGGTTTGAAGCTTTAGAGCTTCCTGACGAGGACCACGAGGATATTGACAAGTTATGGATAGAGATCAGAGATAATATTAATGCGGTCGGTAACTCGTGTCTAGGAAAAAAGGAAAATAAGAATAACAAACCGTGGTTTGATGAAGATTGCTTAAACATGTGTGAAAAAAGAAAAGCCGCTAAATTAAAAGCTCTAAATAATCCTAGCGAAGACAATCTGGAATACTTCCGAATCTCAAAGAACGAAACGACAAAATTGCTCAAAAATAAAAAAAGGGAGTATCTTAAAAATAAAATAATTGAAATAGAAACTAATAGAATTGAAAATAACGTAAGAGAAATGTACAAAGGTATAAACAGATCACGTAAATATGTAGGATCCGTAACGTCTGGAATTAGGGATGATAATAACAATATTCTGACCGATCCGGTTGACATATTGAATAAGTTTAAGGACCACTTTGACAATATTTTAAATACGGGAAATTATGATCTGTGTCCTCCTTCTGAGTACCAGAGTGCTGAACCGTTAATAGAAGGACCAAGTAAAGAGGAAGTTGAAGTAGCTATCGGAAAATTAAAATCATATAAAGCAGCGGGAATCGATAATATACCTACTGAACTAATTAAGGCATGCGGAGAAGCTGGAGTTTCTAAAATACATCGGTTGGTTAATAAGACCTGGGTGAACGAGAAATTACCTGAAGAATGGAAAGAATCTATTCTTATTCCGATTCACAAAAAGGGTCCGAGGACGGATTGTAATAACTATCGAGGAATTTCACTGCTTCCGGTATGTTATAAAATATTCACTTTAATCTTAACCAGTCGAATCACGGAATACGCCGAGGAAATTATCGGAGACTACCAATGCGGATTTAGACGGAATCGTTCGACTATTGATCAAATATTTTCTTTACGGCAAATATTAGAGAAAAAATTGGAGTATAACGGTATTGTTCACCAGCTGTATATAGATTTTAAAAAGGCTTACGATTCTATTGACCGCCAGAAACTGTATAATATTCTAATCGAGCAGGGGATTCCAAAAAAACTAGTAAATCTAGTCAGGATGTGCTTGACGGAGACACTCAATAAAGTTAGAATCGGTAATAATTTGTCCGAAAAATTTGAGGTTCGTTCGGGCTTAAAACAGGGGGATTCTCTTTCGCCTGTCCTGTTCAATTTGGCATTAGAACATGCCATTAGGGAAGTAATGCGAACCGAGAAAGGGTTGGATCTGGGCGGGACAACATCCGTGCTGGGTTATGCTGATGATCTGGTACTGTTAAGCGAAGACGTTGAAACTATAAAACTAAATACGACAACGTTAATGAAAGCCGGTAAAGAACTAGGACTCGAAATAAACGTGGATAAAACAAAATATATGGTTAGCTGCAAAAATGGCGATACTACTGGTGATATCGATATAGATGGTAATATGTTTGAACAGGTAGATAAATTTAGGTATCTAGGTTCTACGATAACTAGAAAAAACGAAATTGAAGAAGAGATTAAGTTAGACTGAAGGCGGGGAATGCTTGTTATTTTTCTGTGACAAAACTACTTAGTTCGCGCCTCTTGTCCCGAAACTTAAAAATTAGAATCTATAAAACAATTATCTTGCCTACAGTTCTTTATGGATGCGAAACTTGGCCGCTTACATTAAGGGATGAGCAGCGTCTTAAGGTTTTTGAAAATAAAGTATTGCGTAGAATATTCGGACCGAAGAAGGATGAGTTAACCGGAGAGTTCAGACGGTTACACAACGCCGAATTGCGTGAGATGTATCCGGGTAATATAATTGAGGTAATTTCATCGCGGCGAATCAAATGGGCTTGTAAAGTTGTTGGGCTTAGTAACGAGAGAATTCCTAAAAGGTTAATATTTGCTGTGCCGAATGGTAAGCGTCCGAGGGGAAGACCGAAGCGAAGGTGGGAAGATTGCATTAAAGCCGATCTGAAGGGACTGGGTTTGGACGGCGAACGGTGGAGGGAGGTGTGTAACAAGCGATTGGTGGTGTCGGCATCGAACCTTCGGGTTCGCTAAGCCTTATTATTATTATTATTATTATTATTGTATTCTTTGAACATATTAAATTACATATGTAAATCATTTAAAGTAAATATTAATCCACTCTTTTATTATTATTTTTTTCATTAATACAATGGTATGACAACAAAAGTAATTTGTCGTTCATTTCAAATTTCAGTTAAAATTCCATAGTTTATTGTTTTTAGTAACTGTCTTGCTGTATTGGGACCTTATTGCTCATATTTTGTCTTTAATATATCAGTATAATTATGTAAATCCTTCTGTTATTACTTATTTTTTAGTTTTTTTGTGTGTGTTTTTTTTTATTGTAATATGCATTTTGGCCAGATGTTATGTTAATTTTTATGTACAGTATTGTTATTCTCAAGGGACTTTGTCCCAGAATAAAGTTGATTCTTCTATTCTATTCTATTCTATTCTATATATATATTTATTTTTCTGTTTGTATTACAGACCATGTGTAGATCTTTTGTAACAAGTATGCTCAATCTCTGCCTGTCTTGGGCTATTTCTTTCCATTTATCTGCACGCAGCTCTATTGTATCTTTGTTGATTCTATCTATTCATCTGCTTTTTGGCCTTCGACGTGGTCTTTTGCCTACTATTGAGGCATTCATTGTTACGTCGTGGCTTCCAGATGGATTGCTAGGAGCTACATGGCCCGCCCATCTTTATCTCCGTGCCTTCATATCATGGGAGATTGATTGACCATGTTTCTGTAAGCAGTTCTTTATTGGTCTTTCTTCTCCATGTGTTAGTACTCTGATCCCAGATATATATAAAACAAAAATAGCTTAGAAAAATTTGAACTTTTAACTTAATTAGTTTGAAATGAAATGAAAATAAGGAGGATGTTATCGACATATTATAATAATTAATTTCACTGCCGATAAAGACTTTTGACTTTATAAAAACAAACATTTATTAGCTTTGTGGTAAACATATTTACATCAAAACAAATTATTTAACAACTTCAATAAAATAAGTAGCTAACAGGTAAATGTTAATGTAAATATTTTGTATACATATCTTATTAAATTAAGCATTGCATTGATACTAGTTACTGGACAATAAAATATATATTAAATATGTGCCGATATATATTTTATTCCTTTAGTGCCATATTTGTCCCTGTAATAAATACTTTATAATCAATAAACTTATGAATTATATTTAAAAAAAGCAGGCTTTTTTACTTTTTCTGAGGACAGCTGAGTCCTCCTTTCCTTTAAAATATTGCCGGTTTTACAAAAAAAACCCTTTCACGTGGCACTGATGTTACCACTGTGCAAAATTTTTGTCTAACAATTTTTGACAGAAATGGAAAATTGTAATTGTAATTTTCCAATTACAGTTGGATTAAAATATCTGAAACAATTATTGGGATATCAAGTCCAAGCGCCAGTATGCATACCGCTGGGTATCTAGTCCAGGTATCAGATAAAAATATCCGATACAAATATCAGATAATGGAAAGAAATAGCCCAAGACAGGCAGAGATTGAGCATACTTGTTAAGGTGGCAAAAGATCTACATGGTCTGTAATACAACCAGGAAAAAAAAAAAAAAAAAAAAAAATATATATATATATATATATATATATATATATATATGTGTTTGTGTGTGTGTGTATGTTAAACTTAGCTATAAAGAATTTTTAGCGCCAGTATGCATACCGCTGGGTATCTAGTTCAGGTATCAGATAAAAATATCAGATAAAAGTATCCGATGCGTGTATCAGATACAAATATCAGATAAAAATATCCGATACAAATATCAGATAAAAAAAATATCTGATACTAGTATCAGATAAAAAGTAGTAGGAAGGTCATGACAAACTACTGACCCATTTGTATCAGATACAAAAGTATCAGATACAACAAAGTACCCGTATCAGTTGTATCTAGATACAAAAATTTTAGTATCAACCCATCCCTACTCCCCACTACTTTTACCTCAGTCCCCCCTCCACTTCTGGTGAATGAACCTTTGATTTCCGGATGTTCGGAACTCCGCAGCGCACCACCATCAGTACTTCATTCACTACCTTACACGACAATTCGGAACGTCATTAGTGCATTTCCGAATGACTGTGTAGGGTCTGCTTTATAGAACAAAGCCTAAATGGCGCCACGCGCGTCCTCCAAAACACCCTACAGTAGGGTTATAGAATTATATAAATGTACTTCATTTACAGATTTAAATATTTTCTGCTAACTTATTAAAGTTGCGATGGATCGAATTGGTTTGTATGACGTATATTTTGGATAGCTGATGTATTAACATTTTATAATTACCGCTCTCTTAATTTACTAAGAGACAAATTGTGATTTTATTTAATTTTTACTTAGTTTACTTTCATTTTTTAATAGCTATGCCCATTGACTGTCATAGATTCGTTGAAACTAATTTTGTATTTTTAAACTATGGAGGAGTTTCTTGTTGCAAGTTACAAATATTGAATTACTTGATTGTAGTTGTTTCATAAATCATGTATTTACCATTTTTTTTTCAGTTGTGGATGAGTGTGGTGTTTCTATCAAAGAAGAAATGGAAGAAGAATTTAAATCTATTGGTGAGTGTTCTTTTTTACTATTAAAACTACTGATGATCAAATAATCGTAGATTTTTGTAAACAATACATTATGGAACATTATTCCTGTTTAGAGGAATAGCATAATTTTATTATTTTTCTTTTATTATCCCTTCTTGGATTGTTTATCTATCTTCCAATTTTGCAAAGGTTACCCAGCCAAAAGTAGTGTCCTATAACATTTATTTATTTATTTTGTTTACATTTTCAGATATAGCTAACTGTGGTGTTTCTATAAAAGAAGAAATGGAAGAAAAATCTGAATCTATTCGTAAGTTATCTGTTTTTTAATTTGTGACTGGTAGTGTCATTAGATGCTCAAAGTCTAAAGTTGTGTGCTATAACATTTATTTTTTTAATTTGTTTACATTTTCAGATATGGCTAACTGTGATGTTTCCATAAAAGAAGAAACAGAAGAAGAACTTGAATCTATTCGTAAGTTATCCGTTTTATAATTTGTGAGTGGTAGTATCATTAGATGCTCACTTAAAGTCTAAGTTAAAATGGTACTAGTTCACAAGGGGTTCCCCACGGATTAAGCATGGTTCATAATCACTTTGATCACACTTGTTCATGGAATTCCGAAAACAGCGGAATGTTGTCTTTTATGATATCAGCTATTGCCTTATCACACAATCTCTTTTCATGCATTTTTGAAGAAAAAAAAAAAGTATTCCCTTCATGAAACTTCCTTATTAACAATTAATAACGGATTGTGTATTCACTAATTTGTTAATTATTAATTTTTATTATGACGGTTATTACTGTGAAAGAAAACGAAAAAATATATATAAAACAATGTTTGTTTCGTTTCTTCAAGGCTTGTTAAAAAAAAAAAAAACAACATTAGAAATAACATTTTTATTGACTTGTGCTTGCATGTAGTGGCTGTAAATACTCACATACTGTTGTATATTATTTTTTATAACTGTATAAAAGATTTTTTTGTCATTTGGATTACAAATAATCTGAAGTTATCTATTATCTTTTTATTTGTTATACGAGTTTTTCAATAGAAGTTGGAATAATTGAATTTAAAATTTATTTTAGCAAGCCTTTTTTAAAATTGCCCAATTGTCTATCTAGTTTATGTAACTTTTTGTATTTCTAATAATGCAACGATCCACTATTTGCTAGTGGGGGGGGGAGGGAGGCTGCTTTGTTTGCATATGCTGTCTGATTTGAGATTGAGTATCAAGTTTATGTAACTTTTTTGAATTCTTAGATATACGGATCCACTATTTCCTAGTCGTTGCAGCTTTTTGTGAATATACTGTCATATTTAAAATTGTTCGTAAAAATTTTTTTGTAGATTTTTAGATTTCTTAGATATAAGAGTCTACTATTAAGTTGTCATGGATGCTTTTTATGAAAACGTCAGATTAAAGATTGCATAAGAAAAGTGTACAATATTAATAAATAAAATGTATCTATCAATCGTTATATAGATAAATATTGCCTTAAAAAATGTCCAATCCCAACGAGTTAACTAGATCTGCCAGTTAGTTAACTGTTAACTTAAAATTTAGTTTTTAATCGCTCTTATTTTTATTGAATGAATTAGCTGTGTAATTATTGATATTCACAGTTATTTTTCTTGGTAATCGGAAATTTGGGATTATTGTAGTTATTCGTTTAAAAAAAACAGTGCTTATTTTCGAGAAAGGAATTAATGTATTGCAGAAACAACTGATGAAGAATTTCTGATAATTTCGAGACAATGAATACTAGAAATCATCAATAAGAAAAATAATATCGTGAAATAGCATTCAGAGATGTAATAATTAAAGGTTTTATCTATTTCTATTTCTTTTTCACAGGTCTATAATATAAGTACAAGTTCGATTCAGGTTTTAGAATGTGTAGCCTAAATGTCGAATTTAAGTCGTCTCCTCCTATATAACTGAACACGGTTAAAGTTATACAGGGTGGCAACCGACCTGGAAAACCTGGAAAAGTCAGAGAATTTTCAAAACCTGGAAAAGTCAGGGAGAAATCAGGGAAAAATTGTTGAAATCAGGGAATTTTTTTAATTTGAAAATATTCTTTTTAAATTGGAATTAATATACAGTGGATTAATGTAACGACCTTAAGGACCATCTTCATATTTATATTGTTATATAACCTATATATATCCACTTGTCACGGTCACTAACCGCCCTGGCCATTATATTGGAATTAAACAAGGTAAGGAATAAAATGTAAGCAATATGGAATTAAAACAATGCTTTTTAAAAAAGAAAAATATCACAATACTATTTACTATCGGCAAGTATACATCTATTTGTTGGTTAACTGAAGGAGAACGTTGGCAGCTTCACATAATTCATTTTTCAAGTAGAGTTGTAATATGCGAGTGAGCAAAATGTGGTCGGACCGCTCCGACTTTAAAACGCATTTCCGTCCTTGATTTTGTGATGATTGTTATGCATATCAACAGAATATATAAAAGCTATCTAATATGTTTATACATCCTAGTTCTGTTATAAAATAGTTAAATTAGCCCAAAATAAAGCATTGAAAAGATAAAAAGCACTTAGTTTGTGAGCGGTAGATACTACAAGGGAAATAGGACTTTGATTCTCTGAGCTCTAACAACCGTTTAATCTTCTTACATATTGACGTGTCTGTATGAGGTACATACAAAACTTAATGCTCTTTCAAATTGATTATATTGAATTTCTTCGATACATGCATAGATTATGAGTTTTGGGGCAAAACAGACAAAAATAGATTTTTCTTGTGAAAAATGCAAACAGTCAATATTCTCTTACTGCTCACCCATTAGTCCTACATCAAAAAGCTATGCATAAAATTTATAGTAAATTTTATCTTCTTTAACATTGTATATAATAATAATTTCGATAAAATGCAGTTTCAGAGTCATGTCCAAAAAACTAAAAAAAGTTCGTAAATTTTGATGTTTTTGCGTATATCTGGATACGCAATGGAACATTTCATTCAGGAACGTCAAATTCAGATCAAGATCTCTAAAAAAAACCGACTGTTTTAATTTTTTCTTCAACCAACTACCATCCGACTGCCCTAATGTGATGACTTTGACATCGTCATTCAAGGTGTATTCTTTTAGGAACATATTCTTTACGTCATATAAAAATTTCGGCCGTCAGTTTTCCGTTAAATTAACCGTCAAATTTCCCCTCGTTAATTTAAATTTTCATATAGAAAGCTAGTGTTCAATTGGCTGAACGAAGTTGTGTGTTCAAATGAGGTTTATCTAGAATTTAAAATGGTTACTAGCTATAAGTCCTTCCTTTAAATAAAATTGTCGGTAGCTCCTTTTCTAATAGCGGAATATTGAGAAGAACCGATTTTGTCATTAGTAGGTAGGTAGTCGTTGTTTTTTGGATATAACTGATTCAGAATGTCCTCGATTAGATTCGCGATTTTTTCAAATTGTAAGATTTATGTTGAATTCTTGAACCAAGATGTTATTAGACTCTTCAGTCTCCAGTCGGCAACATATATAGAATTTTTCTTATATCTAGAACTTTTTGCTCTTCATTATTCTTATTAAACTAATAAACAGAAATATGAATTCAACTCTTTAAGAGTGGGAATGAAATTTGATTCTTACATAGAGAACGAATGAAATAAAATATTTCCTCGATAAGTGAGATATAAAGGTTTTTACGAGTTCAACTGTCGATATATACGATCATTTTTTCTAGAAACTCTAAGAAATCGAGTCAGTTAATCCATTCGCTATATCCATTCAAAATCACGTTATAAAAGCTATCTTAATCAATGAAGATGGTGTTTTCCTTGTTAAAGCCAATACATCGTTATAACCGTTATATACGATATTGTAATTCGCAGAAATTTTACTGTAATCTGCAGCCTTGATTATTATAAGTCCTTCAATATTTTTATAAACTATAAAACCATATCGCTATTCCATCTTAGTAAAAATCGTATTTTAATAAATATTTTTTTACGTTCTCCCATTAATTGATCGAGAGATAAATAAATTGAAACTACAAATCATTATTAATTTGACACATTATTAATACTAAAAATACAATTAAAAAATCATGACCTCGGTCTAGACGGTAAAAGTCTCAGGAAATGATATGTCCAAGGCAGGCTTTGTATGATGCCAATGGGGGTCGTTTATGGCAGTTTTTTTTTTTAATATTCAGTTTTAAACTCTGCAGCAACCAGAAATTTAGTTTAGAGATAATTTAGTGAAAACACGGTTGAGTTGCCTTCTGATTTTTAACTGTATGTTTAATATTGGCGAACGATAGATACTTTTATATGATTTAAATTATATTTTTATTTAAAACATATGACAACGGTCGTAGCAATTCATTGGCTGGCAAGCACCTGTTCGTCCTGGAGAAGATATCAAGCCGCTAGAATACAAAATGGCGACCATGTGAAGATAGAAGAGACCTTACATAGGTTGCACGGGTATATACATAGAGAGGGCTTATAGATATATAAAGCTATCAACACTTTCAATTTATATTGTCTACAGTCTTAAGACCTGAAATTAAAGTCAGTTACCTCATACTCATAGATTTCAAGTGGAAAAATTGAATTTAAGATTAAAAAAGGTTACTTTTATCGGTTTTTCGCTTATATCAGTAAAACTATGCGTTATATCTATAATAGTGTAATATGTGATATTAAAGCTGACAAAATTTGCAATAGAAATGGTCATATTAGTTTATTCGCTATATTCTATAGTTTCTGTGATATTTACCCTCGTAATTCACTAATTTTGAAAAAATAAATAATTTTTGCATCGCATTTTTATCATTATTTGAGTCGCCAACTCTTTATCTTTTCATTGTACGAAAAATCATGAATGAGAAAGTTGTTTAATATTAAATTTTTTTAAGGATATATATTATTTTACGATCTTATCTTCAACCATTCAAAGGCTAGAGCAATTATATTTTAATGATTAAACTTCCAAACTATACAGAAAAACTTTTTCTCATTAGGCCTGTTGATATGATCAATGTATAAGGACAAAGCTTAGTATGAAATAAGAAACCTTTTTTCGCACGGGCTCCCGGACTATTATAAGAGCAGGTAGAAACCTGAAACGTCTCAGTTTCTTTATTTGGGCCCACCCCTTCGACATTGAGACTATACGAAGCTTTTTCCTTGGTGGAAGGCGGGGATGTTTAAAACTCCTCCAGCACCAGAACGCGAACTCATAATTATTTTATCATGTAAACTTGAGTTTATAAGGTTGCCTGGAAACGTGTGTTTTATACAGCTTTAGTCCCCTCAGTTCCAGTCAATGAATGCCCGAAAAAGGGGTAATAGAAAGAAGTGGCGGGGACTCAAATTTTGACTTATGGAAATTCTTTGGACTGTGAAGTGATAAGCATACTAAAAGCACTGTTAGGTGGTGAGCCAGGTGTAGGGATAGGAGAGAGGAGAGCCTAGGTCACTTTTCGGGTTTTCGCCTATG